CAGAGGAAATTGAGCTATTCAATAATTCAGCGGGCCCCGTGAACAAAGCAGCTGAAAGACCTACACCAAGTAAACAAGTCTTACTCAGACAGAAGGGAAGGAATAGAGTGATTCATGTGTCATTAAATGGAAAGGGTATTGAATTATCCTTGGCAGAAATGCTATGCCCCAGAAGCAATCTACATACCCAGGTTGTACAGGTAGAGAACACCTGCTAATTGGCCTATAGAGAAGCAGATGATATTAAGATAAACGCCTCCTATTCTATTTCCTTTCCCCATGCCTCACATGTGGGTGAGAGGTGTTGACTCGAAAGCCTGTTTTTAGCTGCAGCAGCATTTTCACATTTTAAAAAAATGTTTAGAAGCAGGTCTGGTCAACTAAAAAACCCCCAAAAACCCAGCTTATCTTCCTCCCGTGCTTTAAAAAAATGGAATGGCCAGCTCTAGCAATCAGCAGTGAAGCTTTTCACATCAAGCACCTACATGGCTTGGGTTCAGGCTACCTGAAGGACTGTATCTCGCCATATGAGCATTTTCAGCACTTAAGATCATCAGAGGCAGCCCTCCTCTCAGTCCCATTGGCAGCACAGGCACAGCTGATGGGGACACAAGGCAGGGCTTTCTCTGTGGATGCTCCCGGATCATAGAATACTCTTCCTCAAGAGGTCAGGTTGGCCCCCTCCCTTTTATCCTTCCGCCAACAGCTGGAGACCCACCCTCTCAGGCAGGCTTTTAATAGGCCTGAATGCTGTTCATTTGTTAAGATAATTTTAAACATTTGACCTGTCTTTATTCGATTGTATTTTACTCAGTTTTGTAGCTTGTTTTTAATGTATGTCCTCCTGTGTTTTTAATTCTATGTTTTAAATACCGTGTGCCACCTTGAGTCCCCTCACTGAGAGAAAAGCAAGCTATAAATAAGACAATTTATTTATTTATTTATTTGATTTATACCCCGCCTGTCGGGACCAATGGACCACTCCTGTTTGTAGCCTGTAGTGCTGCTAACCTTCTGGAAGGAGAAAGTGGTGCAATACTACTGAGTCTTTAATTCCAGGAACAGGATAGGAGCTTAAAATAAATCCTGTGTTTTTAACAGTTGAATGGTGGGAAGAAATTAGAGGAACAAAGCTAATAGGGTGGAGTGGGGTGGGGTGACTAGAAAAAAGAAGCAAGCCTAACTCAAAAGTGTGGTTCTATGAAAGCTTACAAAGCAACAGAATTTCCACCTTCAGCCTGTTAGAATAGGGTGCACCACTTGTGAGACTCCTGGCACTGCTGCACTATAATTCCCATAATCTCTTAGGATCGGCTGTGTTGATGACAGGTGAGGGAAACTGTGGTTTAACAGGATTCAAAGAACCACCTGATCACCTGCTGCTGTGTTGGAAGCTTGGGCCCATTAACAGTTGAATAAAAAACAGAAAGATATGGGTTTTATTTTAGTTACTACAAATCAAAGCTGAGGATTAGCCTTGTGAACTTTTTTCTAATGTATGTTTTAAAGTGGAGTGGTTTATCTCCAAAGATCTGGGGGCTGGACCCACACTGGATCTCAGAGGGTCACATCAACTCCTATAATCTTCACCACAAACTTTGCTAAAATTGCTTTTTAAATTGAAAACGGCCTCTTGAACTCTCTAGTGAGCACTTTTTAAAAAAGTAGTATTGGGGGCTCCCAGGGTTGCTGGAGGCCCTTTAAAACATGGCAAAATCTCTCTCATGCCTCAGGGTGTTTTCAGAAAAAAATCCCCTAGTTTTATATTTGGAGGGTAGGGGGGTGCTGGAAACTCCTGGGGTGCTAGGGAGGACCATATTGGCATTTTTAGGGGCTATAAGTGGTATGTATGTGCACGCTGTCCTGTAAAAAGCCAGAACCCGTGTTGAGAGAGAAAAAAGTCACTCTCCTGAGAGGAATAAGCACCTTTTCCAGGATGGAATTTGGCAAATGTTTCAAAATCCTTCCGCCAACAGCTGGAGACCCACCTTCTCAGGCAGGCTTTTAATAGGCCTGAGTGAGTCCCTGAATGCTGTTCATTTGTTAAGATGATTTTAAACGTTTGACCTGTCTTTATTCGATTGTATTTTACTCAGTTTTGTAGCTTGTTTTTAATGTATGTCCTCCTGTGTTTTTAATTCTATGTTTTAAATACCGTGTGCCACCTTGAGGGCCCGATCTTCGCAATGGGGAAAACCCACATTGCGAAGATCGGGTATTGCCGCGGCCATTTTGGAGCCGCCGAACAGCTGATCGGCGGTTCCAAAATGGCCACTGGAAGCCCGGAAATGGCTGCCGGCAGCCGTTTTCGCGCCCTGCCCTCGCTTAGCGAAGGCGCGAAAATGGCTGCTGGCAATTGGAATCCTCGCTGAACGGGTAAGTAAGAAACATTTCCCCTACCCGTTTAGTGACGATTTCACATAGCGAGGGTTAATCCGGAACGGATTAACCTCGCTATGCGGGGCACCACTGTATTTTCTAGTCTGGTTAAGGCACATCCATAGTAAATAGGCCTGCCTGCCTGCCGGCCTTCCTTCTGACAGTAGCCTGCAACACAGACATGGGACATGTAAACTTTTTCTCTAAATCCTACAAAATTTTCCAAACTATTGTTAGGCAAAGTAATAGGTTTCTAAAAATGTGGCAACTATGGTAGTACCTGTATACACACCAAAGTTACACATCTCTTTGACTCAAAATATGTTTACAGGCCGTCTTCCTCTACCACCACCGGCACCTTGTTGGAGTCAACTGACCAAGGTGATCTTAGTGCTACTAGTATGAAGCTCTGCCTGTTTCACATTTCTTCATGCAAGGTGGCAGGGATAAGCCACTCCTTGAGCATTTCACATATTCTGAAAGCCCCATAAGGACTACCATACTTCAGAAGTGACTTGATAACACATGAGAACAAAACAGTTATTCTCATCATAGAGAAGGCCATGCCATATCTGCCTGTCATACAGCTGCTCAAAAGAAAAGAGTGGCAACCCTAATTCAGCACCACAAATATGACTGAATGCACAGGGGTTCAAACCTAAACATTCACA